GCAGCCTCCCGCCAATAAGTGTGCGAGCACGCCCCTTCTTCCCCCTCTTGATCTCGTCACTTGGGCTGAGATCGAGCCATCGGGAGGTAACCCTGCGGTCGTCAACACGGCGTTCGATGGAAGAGAGATCGATGCCACCGGATCCAACTACAACTGTATCTTTACCGTGTCGGATTTCAAGAGAGAAGGTTAGTTTCTCGTCTCCGAAGGGCTCTGCTGCTACAAAGATGAGGTCTTCATTCCATGACGGGGCACCATTACGGCTGGACGTTGAGCGAGTTCTCAGTGTTTGAAATCCTAAGCACGCTTTGACGGAGATCACAGTCTCTCTCGACGTCATTAATGTATCGTTTGCTTCAATGACAACGGCACGGAGGTACCAGAGCTTGGGGGAGACGTAGACCTTGGAGTGAGAGCCACCGTGGCGATCTTTGATATTTTTGTCCACCTTTGAAGCGTTGGCGAAAGACTCGTCAGCTTGGGTCCCGATCCATGTGGCGAGCATGAGGTCGCCACTGCACAACCCTCCGCCCTCCAGCCTGTACCACTGCAGGGCCATTGGGCTGTCGGGTGGGTCCCTCGTTGGGACTTCGGAGACGTCGAAGCAAACCCCACCGAGGAAGTGTTTATCACCAGCATCTGCGGTGGTGATGTCAGATCCTGGCGGTAGATCCCACACTGAGATCTCGAGAGTGGAGGAGTCCGCTGTGCCTGATGACGAGCCTCGGGAGAAGGCGAAGGTCTGGTCCCACTCAAAGAACGCACCTCTTCGGGCAGTCTTTGTGCTGACGTGGCACCCGAGGGCCTCGATTCTGACATGGGGCTTGACATCTCCGGGGAGTGATCGAGCTCGGACTACTCGGACGAATAAGTAATGCATTTTGTCGACGAGGTCGTAGGTTGATCTCTCAACCGGTTCAGGGACTCTCTCAGCCGCCACCGGTGGCCTCGGCTCTTTGGAGCAGTTTCCTCTTCAGGTTCTGCCGGCAGTGCTGGTGTAGGTGCTTCCTCTGCTGTGGTCTCTGGTGGAGGTTGTGTTTCAGGCTCCTCAGTCTCTCGAGGAGTTTTAACAACATTTGAATCCTTTTCTGGCGGTAAATCCTGTTCTGGTAGTTTCTGCTCTGCTTCTGCTGGTGGTTTCTCTGCCTGCGGTGCAGCTTCTTCTGCTGGCGCCTCAAGCCGCTACCGGTTGCTCTGGTGGAGCATGCATCACCTTTGTGCTAGGAGAGCTTCTGCGCGGTGCAGGCGGGTGATCAGGCCGGCGCTTCGGTGCTTCAGGCTGCGGCACGAGCTCTGGCTCTGGCACAACCTCTGGCTCATCAACATAATAAATCCGCAACCCAATATCACCTCTCACCCAACTAAACCAACTCTTCTTCTCCAACGGAAAATACTGGAGCGCCTCCTCGCCTTTTCTAACAAAATGGCGAGAATCAATCCTGACTCGACCAAGAAAATGGTGCCTTCGGGTTGGAGCAGCCTTTCGATCGTGTAACACATCAACTTCTAGTAGCTCTCCAGTCATGTTTAAGTTCTTATCATTCACTTTGAATTCGAGAATTTCATTCCAGGTTGGGTTGAGATCACGGAAGGCAGGTTGGGTGCGTTTTCGTTGCCCGTCGAAGTCTACGACGACGTAGGGGCTTGAGGTCCCCGTGCCGTCTTTTGGTAGGAGGT